GGGATCTCAGGGGTGGTCAAGCACTGGCCCAGGGCAGTACTGGAGTCACCATCACTGGGAACATTCAAAGAACAAGAAGATGTGACATTTAGGGTTTGGTGGGCTGGGGGTGTTCAGCTGAAGGTTGGGCTTGGCGATCTCGGAAGTTTTTTTCCAGCCTTTATGGTTCTCTGACTCCAAATGCTCCCCTGGGGCCAGGACGCTGGAGGCTTCAATTAGAAAAATTACCTTTTCTCACACATCTCTAGAAGGAGGTCAGGCTGCCCTGGGGACACAGCACAGCAAGATCTCACCCTCCCTGCTCCCCATGGATGCCCCATCCCACCCCACCAGGATGAAGCAGGTGCCTCCAGGCCCCCAGAGCGGAGCACCAAGACCAAAACTGCCTCTCCTTCTGCCTGGGCCAGCTCCAGGGAGCCAGGCAAGCAGCTGCCTGCAGGTCCCACACCCTCCACAGCAAGCCTCGGTGAGCCACCAGGCAAGTGTTCCCAGTCCTGCAGCTGCCAGGGCACACAGCAGGCACATCCCAGCACTCCTCAGCAAAGGGCTGTGCTCTCCTCTCCCTTTGCAGCCAGGGCTGCAAGGATGATGTTGTAACTCAGGGGCACAGCAGTGAGAACATCCCAGGGCTCTGTGTAAGACCCTCTGGCACAGGTTTATGTCCAGCACATGCAGGTAAGATGTCAAAGAGATCTGCCATTTCTCTTTTCACCTTGGTTTTAGGCATCAGAGCAGCAGCAGCAGCAAGTGACAGCCCTGGGAAAGGCCACGTGGGATGCTCCACACAATCCCCAGTCAGGGTGGTCACAGAGCCCCCATCTCCGCTCTGTCTCCACTTACACTGAGGAAGCACCTTCCTCACATTCGTTTTACCCAGTGAAATGTGACCCTTCCCAGGTGCCACAGCAGCCCTGTCAGCAGGGGGGGGTGCACACACAGCCCTGCAGCTGAGGGAGCAAAACACTGAGCCCACCCAGGGATGTTTGGAAGAGCCAAACCCCACGAAGCAAGGAGGGGAAAATGCCCCCTCATCTCACACTGAGCAAAGCCTTTGAGATGCATCGAGCCCTGCAGGGACGGAGCAGTGTCCAGCCACATCAACTCCATCCTCAGCCTCTGCCCACCTGCAGCTGGAAGGCTGGGAGAGAGGAAGGATAAGGGGCACTGAGTGCAATGGAAGCCTTAAGATGCTACTGGAAAAAACCCAAGCCCTGCCATTTGCAGCAGCACCTTAAAAAGGGGGGAGAAAATGATCAAAGGCAAGAGGTACAAAGCCAGAAGTGCACTTTTATTGACAAGTTTCAGAAGTAAAAAGAAGATTCAGTATCTCTGCTCCTCGTGAACTGGATGTCTGGGCTCTTCCAAAGCACCTTCACCCACCAGCTCAGAGTCGTGTCGTGCTTTTCATCTTCAGAAGTTGAAATCTTGCTTCTCCACTGAGAAATCATACAGCCCATCTTGGCCAGTCAGAGGCTCCAGGTCTGAGTCTTCCTGTGAGGAAAGTGATATCAATCAGTTATAGGGTCTGCATCTGAATAAACCTAAGCTTTGTTTTACAGCAACTTGCTGCTTTATTCTTGTTTTAAAGATTCAGCTGCTGTGAGAAGCTCTAGCAGAGCCCTGGGAGACCAGACCCGAGTCCTCCTGTTCCTGACAGCACACACTGAAGCTGCAGTGTCCCTGCATCCCACACACAGAAGCAGCCAAGCCTATGGGCTCAGACACCAGAGGGAGAAGAAAAAAAAAGAGTGGCTGCAGTGGTAGAACTCACTCAAATTAAACTGGAACAGCGAGAAACCAGGACTGCTTAGGAGAGATGTTCCCCCTGGCATCCAGCCCCTCAGGAAGGTGTGGGAGAGCTTCCCCCACAGCCTCTCACAGGGACATCCCACAGACCCTGCTCTGGGCAAAGGACTAAACCAGGCATTTGCCCCCTGCTGCAGCTCAACCCAGCCTGAGCCTCAGCTCCAAGATCTGCCAGACCTTTAAGCCTCTTCCCTGATGTTTTCCCATCTGCGAGTTTGAGGCTGGGACCAAGCATGGCATCTGTGACAGTCACTGGACCCTTACAGCTCCTAGCTGGTGTCCCAGCCTCTTTTTCCACAGATTCATTACCATGGGAAGGGTCAAGTAACCCAAATGCAACCTGAGCACTGCTGTCAGCCGAGTGGGAGGCTTCCATTCATAGTGACAAGCCAGCTCAGCTCCGAAGGAGGAAACTTCTCCACATTTGGTATTCACATCAGCAACTGCGGTAACTCCAGCTGATGCCAGTTTAAATTCCAGCAGCAAGATGCTAACAAGGCACCCATGTCTGCTGTGCAACTCATTGGCTGACAACTTGGAGCTGTCATAGACCTTTAGAAGCAGCTGGAAGAAGCTGTAAGGACTACTCCAGTCGTGGGGAGGTCTCCTCCAAAAGCCCCTTTCAGTATCCTCAGAGTCTGTTCTTCATTCCAGTGCATAACAGCTTCATGTTTTCAGCTGAGGAACAGCAGAGGGTCCCATACCTCACCAGAGAAGTACTTCTCGATGATCTTCAGGGCAGCTCTGTAGACCATGTTGTTCTCGTGGTTTTGCAAGTCCTCAATTTTCTCCAGACCGTTGAGCTCCTCCAGCAGCAGACACAACTTCTCGGTCTCTCCCAGCTTCTCAGCTGCCTGTGACATCAGGAAACCAAGCAGGAAAATTGAACACTGCATCAGTAACAGGTCTGAGAGGGTCTTTACTGTAATTACAACCCTGATCTACAAGTCAAAAGGATCACAGTCCCTGAATTTACAGTCCCTACCTGATGCCAGGGATGTGACTGTGGTGTCTGTGGAACACCAATCCCTGCTGGGACAACTGCAGTGGCTTGACTGCCAACCAAACCGGCCAGCAAGGAGGTGAGGAGGGACACTTTAACCTTGTCAAGCCCTTTGGACAACCCAAGAAAAATTTAGACAACGTGAAGTCTGTCTCTTACTCCAAAAATCAACAGCCACTGTTCTAACCACGTAGTGAGAGCACTTGGCTCACTCCTTGCTGCTCTTTTGGGGGATGAATTCAAAATATAAGAGGTCTTACCAGGAAGAGATTTGAAATGGTGTCCAGGATGATCAGGATAGTTTTGCTGTCCTTGGCTGAGAGCAGGTTGAGCAGAGGTTTGAGGACCCCAGAACGGACGAGCTCCACCACCTGATCCACTGTTCCTCCAGTCGTGATGTTGGCCACGACCCACACCCCCTCCTTCTGAGCCTTGAAGTCACCCTGGAAAAGCAGCACAGGGAAGGCATTCCCAAGCTTTAGCATCCCTCCAGGATCAGTGTGAGATGAGGATAGTCCTCAGCTTGGACTGACCCCTCCAACCTTCCCAGCCCTTCGAGGACACCCAGCAGAGCTGCCAAGAGCAGCTCCAGGACACATTTCCATGCTGGTGTACTGACAAGTCTGAATGCCCAGGCTGTTCCAAGGACCCCAACAGCTCCCACTCAGCCTGTTGAGGTGGCTCTGGTGGCCTCAGGAACCCCAGCAGAGCTTCCCCATCCCTTACCTTGTCGAGCAGCTCCACTAAGGGCGGCAGTAACCCACAGGTGATGAGCTGCTGGATCTGCTGGGGAGGCCCTGCTGCGATGTTACTGAGCGTCCAGGCTGCTTCCTTCTGGATCCCCGGCTTGCTGTGCCGCAGCAGGCGGGGCAGCACAGCCAGCACCCCGGCGTTGATGGCTGCCTGGGTCTGCTGGTCCGTCCCTGTCACCACATTCCCGACGGCACGCAGAGCTGGAATCTAGACGGGGATTAGAGGAGATGAGGAGAGGCCTTACCTCGAGGGATATGTGTCAGAAAGATCCCTCACTGAGTGCTTGATCCCTCAAACAAGGAGAGCACTGTGGGTGAGCACTGCTTGTTTACAGACCTGTCGCCCTCCTGTTTGCTCTAAGCAGCTTTGGAGCGTCTGTGCAGCCTCCAGCCACGGGAAGCTGGAGCAGAGCAGCTGTGGCTGAGGGGACAGCAGCCCACAGGTGCCACAGAATGAGGAGATGTGCCTTCCCTCCCCTCAAATGTTTCCACACTGATGCACTAGAGGATGGAGACTGCTGATCGTTCCCTACCATGACATTCAGGTTCATGCAGGCCATGAGTTCCACCAGCCTGGGGAGAACCCCGGTGTCCACCACGATTTGGATGCGCTCGTTGCAGCTGTCGGTCAGGTAGGAGAGGGCCCAGCAGGAGTCGGTGATGATCTCCCTGTCCTCGTGCTGCACCAGGCAGATGAGGACAGGCAGGATCTTGTGCACGGCGTCCAGGGGAGGGTAGGGGTTCTTGTTCCTGCAGAGGTTGGACAGTGTCCAGGTGATGTTCCTCAGGAAGCCAATCTGAAACACAGGGGAGGTGTAAGATCCCCAGAGAGCTTCTCAGCCCAGTTTATGCCACCCTGTGAAGGTCCTTCTCCCCCAGAGACAGAAAGCAGTGGGACAGGCACCACTGCAGAAAGGCAGAGAAGAGCCACAAACCCAGCAGTTTAGAGTTACCCAGAAAGCAGCAGAAGGAAGCTTGAAGGGCAAGTTCAGCCCTTCCACATGCATATGCAAGCCTGCCTTGCACCAGTTTCATCTTATTCCTGGGCTGAGACAGCCAAAGCTGGATAAGAAAGCCAAGACTGGAAGATACCACACTGACTTGGAGACTGTCTGTTTGGCATTCCCAGCTTTGTGCATAGGCAGAGCCATCATAAAAGCAGCTTAGAGCAGGGTCTCATTCAGTTTTACAAACAGCTCGTTGTGCATAACACAGATGACAGATCATCACTGCCCCATCACCCAAGTGATTAAGAGCTGTTAAGCCAAGAAAACTGAAGGTTATTTACTGGAGTTGCAGGAGACACCAGAGCCAGCAAGGGAGGAATCACATCATGGCTGATAAGAGCATCTCTGTAGAGAGGACCATCCCCTGTACATGTAAAGGGTTGGTTATTGCATCTGCCCAGGTCACAAGACAGCCAGCATCAAACAGCAACCAGACCTGCGGGGCCAGGGCTGGGTAACCAGGCTCCCCCACCACCATTAGGCATTTCCAGGTGGGAAGGATTTACTGGGCAGACTGGAGTGCCAGCAGGGCTGGGTGGTGGCAGCCTAACCAGACACAATCCTTTCTGTTCTCCCTTCTGACCACATCAGGGGGGTTAAACCATCCCAGCAGGATGGAGTCCTGCCCTTGGCTTTGGCCAAAATCCTCTGGCAGAGCCCACACAGGACCTCAAAGGCTGAATGGTCAAGGGGTTCAGTAGGGGCAGCAGCTTGGGCACAAAGCTGCAGGGAGAGAGGGCTTTGGTGAGGAGCACCAATATTTTATCCCCCCAGCACTGGCTTGGCCAGTGACCCTCTGTGTGCCCCCACAGCTCTCCTCACCTGCAAGGTTGCCCAGGGCCCACACTGACTGCTCACTGATGTGCATGTGGGGGGAGGACAGCAGGGAGATGAGGGCTGGGATGGCACCTCCCTCCACCACGGCCCTGGCGTGCTCTGAGGTGCCAGAGGCGATGTTGGTCAGTGCCCAGGCCGCCTCAAACTGCAGGGCAGCATCGTCAGCACGGCCCAGGAATTCCACCATCCTGGGGATGATCCCCAGCTGGATGATCTGGTTGATGGGGGGGTCCTTCTGCCTGGACAGCATTCTCCTGCAAGAGGACACAGCACAGCCTGCCATGAGGAACCCTGTGAGGTGCCACCACAGCCCATAACCAGGTACAAGGTTTGTGGCTTGCAGGGGAAGCGTCACCTGCTGGAAGAGATGACAGTTCAGCATCCCACCCCGCAAACCTCAGCACAGAGAGGGAAGACACAGCTAACGATGCTGAAGCAACAGCAGGGTGTCTCTTGGAGTGCAAAAGCTCACACATCCTTTTGGGACCATGATAATATTCCATGCCCCCTACCTTACAGGAGTTTGATACTGTGATAAAAATACATGCCACGTGTTCCCTTCCAGCCTGGCTTTGCCACTCCCAGGGTCAGGAGCACTGGCCAGCCCTGCACAGACCAGAGCTCAGCCAGCCAGTTCCAGGCTGTTTTTCCAGCTTAAAGACAAACATGTAATCTCTCCTGGACCCTCAGGAGTCATCCCTGCTGCCAGCTGGGTGATGGTGACACCCTGCAATCCTTCCTACAGCCACCCCAGTGGGGACAGTCCCACTCAGCACCGACCCTTACAGAGCCAGGCTCTCCACTCCTTGGCCTGCCCAAGCACTTGGCTCTACATATCCTGCAGGATCCAACGTGATCCCTGGCACAGCACAGGCACAGGAAGGGGGGGCAGCACCAGGAGCCACAACAAACCCCTCAGCGGGGTTCAACCCCCCAGGTCTGTGCTCTGAGCACTGCCCACGATGTGACAGAGAAGTGTGGCACCCAGGGCACAGAGCGGGCACCAGCTGAGGTTCCCCAGAGCAGTTTGGGTTACCAGGCTCCTTCCCTCTTTGCCATCTCTCTAGGGAGCTCCTCAAACAGGAGTAAATGCCTTTTTGCCACCACGACCCACCACAGCTCCATCAGCCACCTCCCTCCTGGCCCAGGCAGCCAGGCACATACCTCGTGGCCTGTGTGGCCAGCAGCTGCAGCTTGGGGTTGTTGGCATTCACGCCTTCCACGATCTCCTCCAAGGACAGCTGAATAATCTGTGTCACAGGCAATGATTCAGAGTCAGACGGGGAGCCGGGACTCCCTCTGGTTTAATCTCTGCAGTCAATCAGCTGTCTAGACCCGAGTCAGTCACCACTTCATATCTAAGCGGTGTCTATTCTTTATGCAACACAGTTTCGAGATGAGGCAGAGAATCCACAAAAGCCTTCAAGGCAACTAATGCTTATAATCAAGCACTGAAAGAGTCCCTGACACACCATAATGGGCCTACAAGCTCAGTAATTACCCCTCGCTGTGCAGGGAGCCAGACGGGAGCTGTGCCAGCTCCCAGCGAGCCAGAGCACCAGCCTGTTCTACCTGCCATCAAGGGAGGCCAGCAGGACAAAATCTCCATGAAAAATAGCAAAGGCAGAGGCCAGGCAGTCTGAAACACTCCCCAGCACCGGGCATGGCAATCAGGAATGGCATCAGCTACTTAACCCAGGTCACAGCAGCTGGACTTGGTAATGGTCCAAGTAGGGGATGGTGAGTACTGCACCGATCCTGCCCAGCTGCAGAGGACCCAGCACTCACCTCATGTGGCCCACTTTGTCCTGGAGGGACATTCTCGTCCTGCACATGAAGGGACACATTTCTGCGCTTCAGGATCTGCTCATCCTTCTTGGCCTTCCTGAGCTCAATGCTCACCTCCACCCTCTGCATCCGCAGGGCCTGCAGGGGAGAGGGGAACGTCCCAACGGTGTCTGCATCTCCCCATTCCCCAGGGAGCTCATCTCTGCAACCCCCTGCCCCACATTTCCCTCAGCAGGAATGCAGAGAGCCAGCATCTCCTCACTGAGGCCTGGAGGGTGAGGCAGGAGATGGGACAGAGTAAACCTCCCCCTCGGTGCCTCCCAGGGACAGGGACTGCTGGATGAACCGACAACCAGTGGGTGTTTTTAGAACTAGATTTGCTGAACTTGAAAGGCAAAACCCTCATCTCCTCTACTGGCTTAAAGCAAGCTGACAGATCCCATGGTCTGACATCCCATACCAGCCCCCTGCTCCGCAGGGATAACTGTGATGGAGAGCTCAGCAGGCTGGGGCTGAGCCACCCCCTTCCCCTGCCAGAGTCACCCACATCCCCCTGGCCTGTTCCACATCCAAAGCCACCTGAGCATCCCAGCTGGCAGAGCCATCCCCCTGCTCCCCCACACAGGTAGATTTGAGGGCCATGGGCCTTCAGAAGAGTCTCCCCCTGTTGGAAAGGGGAACAGGCAAACCCCAGCGGGCTCTGCCCTGGCCCAAAGGTGCTGGCACAGGTAGGTGGGTACTCACAGCTGCGTCCTTGCCCTTGTTCTTGAACTTCCTCATGCGCTGCTCCTTCTTCCCGACCTCCATCTCAGCAGGGTTGAGAGAGGTGCCAGCTGAACGTCTGCACGTGCTCTTGGGCTTCAGGACAGAGCAGGGTCAGGCCACAACTGCCCAGCAGCATCCACTGCCATCCACAGAGGGGGCTGGGACCTCCCCACTCCCACCAGCAGCCTGTGCCACACATTTCCACCCCACACTCCCACCCAGGGAGATGCTGCAGGTCTCCTGCCCCAAGCAGGGCTCGGTAGGATCCTCACACACTGCAGCTGAGCCACTGAACTAAACACAAGCACAAACTACCACTTAATATCAGGCTACAGAAATTACAGCTGCTGCTGTAATCCCATGAGGAAGCCAGGCACAGGCTTCCCATGGTTACAGAAACACCACCTTCCTCTGGCTCTGATCCTGGGCCTTTTAGTTTTACTTTGACACACAGCCCAAGCCTAGCAGGGCCTCTTGCCTCCAAAAGGATCAGCTCAAGGGCTGACTTAAGGACACACAACCCAACTTGGCTTCCTACACCAGCCCCCCAAACTAAGGAAGACCCACAGTCACACGCAGAGGCATAAACTGACTAAATTCAGCTGAGGAAGGAGTTCTGGAAATCCAGCACCTAGTGCAGATTGCCAGCCTCTTCTTTTGGAGGAGCTCAGCAGAAGAGTACCACAACCCACCCACTGACACCAGCCCAGCCCCAAACAGCCAGGAGGGCCCAACCAGCAGCCCCATCACAGGGAATAAACAGCCACCCACCCCAAGACAAGAAGAACAACTTACCCCAACCACCTCTCGTACTCCACCCCCCCTCAACTGCCTCTTTTATTGCCCCCGTGGAGCCACGTACCCCCCCAGCTCCCCTCCAGGATTGGCTCTTCCCAGGACAGGCCTCGTTATCTCCACCTGCTCCCTCATCACAGCCACCTGGATACACCTGGAGGAAGATGGATGCTGAAGGATGCCCTGGGCCACCACTCACCCCCCAAGACCTTCTCCTTACACTTACACTTTGCCCACTTTGGCCTTGTTTTTGGCCGGACCCTCGGTGGGTGATGCCAGCCTGTACCTGTGCAATGTCCCGTGACACAGGAGACGGTCTGGGCACTGCCACCCCATCGCTGTGCAGGGCACAGGCAGTCTGGGGATGCCCCTGGTTTTTGTCTGGGTAGATTGTGGGTGGTGCTGCAGGCCTGGAGAGCAACATCCTTCAGTTAGCAGGGCCCAGGACCTCGGAGCCGGGGGGCAGCTGAGGGGAACCGGCTGTGGAGGTTGCAAATGAGCCAAGACAGGATTAAGAAACTTGGAGCATCATCAGGTGCTGAGCTGCTGGCTGGCACAGGCAGAGGGTGGCAAGGAGAGAAAGCCAGCAGGAACCCTTTGTCTTCATGAGCCTTTTAGAGTTTGGCCAGGAGCTGCTGGGCAGCTCGTGTCGTGCTGCGTTCTGTGCCCGTCGCAGTCTCCATCAGTCAAGGGATGGGTTCCATTTCACAGAATCACAGAAAATGATGAGTTGGAGGGGATCCACAGGGATCATCGAGTCCAACTCCTGGCCCTGCACAGGCCCATCCCCCAGAGTCACCCCCTGCACCCCAGAGGATCATCCAAACCCTCCTGGAGCTCTGGCAGCCTTGGGGCTGTGCCCACTGCCCTGGGGAGCCTGTTCAGTGCCAACCACCCTCTGGGGGAAGAACCTTTCCTGAGATCCAACCTAAACCTCTCCTGACACAGCTCCAGCCATTCCCTGGGTGCTGTCCCTGTCCTCCCAGAGCAGAGCTCAGGGTCTGCCCCTCCTCTGCCAGTGGACTCTCCAGTGGCTTCAGATCTTCCTTATATTGTGGTGACCAAAACTGCCCCAACATTCAAGGCGAGTCTGCAGCAGAGCAGAGTAAAACCACAGCAGGGCCAAGCAGGGCTTGGCTGCAGCACTGGGGGCGGTTTTGGGGATCTGAGGTGTCAAAGGCACTCTGGATCTGCACACCCTCTGCTCCATCACCCATTTTCAGCCCCATGAACCCCACCCCTGCACAGCTCTGTGTGTGTGCAGAGGTGCCAGCCTGGTCCAGCCGGTGGGGAAGGGAGGAGCGGTGCCTCCCGAGTGGGTAGGGAAAACAGCTATTAAAATATTTAATTAAAACCCAATTTTAAACTGCCTGACATCTCTTTCTGCGAGGGAGGTGGGGAGCAAGGGAAATTCCAAGCTGCAGGAAGGTGGGAGCGAGGTGGGAACAGCACCCACCATGGGGGTCTGCACCCTCCACAGCCCTGGACCCCCACACCCCGCCAGCCATCTACACAGAGCCATTGCAGACCAATTTACAGCAGTCCAGGAGGACAACTAGTTCACTGTGTGGTTGTTTCCAGCATGGAAATACCCATGGAGACAGTGCAATACCCAGGCTGCTTCAAGTCATGGATTCAAATCCTGGGGGAAGGGGGGTCACACCAATTCGGCATTTCAAGGCAAATAAAAAGAGTTGTACCAAGCTTTGTGTGGAGGGTGATGGGGAGAGGTTGGAGAAAAGACCTTCAGACAAATCTGTTGTTTGTAGGCGTTAAAAAGCCAGTTGTGCTAATCCTGGCTGCTGTGTTTTTAAGCTTCAAGTGCCACCGGTTGCATTATCTTGTTTCTTGGCTGCTCGAGACAGGAAAATTACATTTCAATTGCTTTTTAATTCAGCTTAATCTGGTGCAAAAGTTAGCGTGCACCCTCTAATTTTGTTTTCTGAGCGGTTTGTTTCCACTAATTCCTAATCAGCCAACACTAAATCAAAACAGGCCTGGCTCAGGCTGAAATAGATGAGTCCTCGGCAACCTTGCCAAGCAATTTAATTAAATTGGCTTAAAATCACGCCCCCCCAGATAAGTGGGGGCAGCCTCCTGCACAGGCCAGCCCCCAGCTTTTGGTCCCCTGCCTGCAGAGCTCTGGCCCGAGGTGCTGCAGGGCGTGAATGTGGAAGGAGGATGTCAGAGGTTCATCCTTATCCTGCTGCTCTTTTTCTCCCCGCTCCTTCCATGCCCCCTCCACCTGCCAAGCGCAATCAGCCCCATCCTGTTCAGTCCTCTGTCACTGCCAGCACAAGGAGGGAGGGGATGGGGAGAGAACACCCACGTGTGAATGGATGAATGTCCCCCTCCCTGTGGGTTGCCCAGGTACCTGATGGCATGAGAGGTGGCACTGCCACCCAGGAGCGGGCTGAGGGCGAGGGGGTGGATCCGAACCCGTGCTGAGGACACAGGCAGATCGATATTTGGGAAAGGGAACAACCACTGGGGGGGCAAGGGGGAGGAAGTTTTGGTTTTCAGCATAATAAGAAGGTTTCACAGCTAATGGAGAGCAAAGGAGATAAAACCCTAAATCTACATGACAGTGTCCCCTGAGCTCAGCCTTGTGTGCTCAAGCTGAAAATCCACATCGTGACAGGTATGAAAAGCTGTGGTTCTAGTTTAGAGGGGGTTTTTTGAGGCTGTTCTCCCACACCCTGCCACCCTTCACCCCACCACTGCACCCTGGTGAGGCTCTGACTGGGGCAGACTTGAAAACACCCATTTTAAGCCCTGAGAGAAAACCCCTGATTTTCCCTCCTCTGTTTTTTTTTTATTTTTTATTTTCATGTTTCTTGAATAGGTTCACCCTCGCTGCCTGCAGAAAAGCTGCCAGTCAGGAAAGGTGGCATCTCTGTGGCAGGGTGAGATGAGGCAGGAACATCCCAGGATCCACTCTGGGATGCTGCCCGGGCACAGCAGCTGGTTGGAGCAGCCCCTCTGTGAGAGGGCAGAGAGGGAGCAGAGGGAGGGATCCCTGCCAGCCCCCAAACTTCTGCTCTCTCACAGCGATGATGTAGCTCCATTAAGTTAACATCAACAAATGATTTTTACCTGTTAGTTACACTAACACCAAGGAAATATCCATGTGGGCTCCTGGAACAGCTGATGATGTAACTGCTGGTGGGTTATAGAGCCATGCTGGGTTGGAAGAGACCCACAAGGATCATCCAGTCCAACCCCTGGCCCTGCACAGGACACCCCAACAATCCCACCCTGTCCCTCAGAGCTCTGTGCCAGGCCCAGGGTGAGTGACAGCCCCACAGCCACCAGAGCTGCTCTAATCAGGACACGCAGAAGGTGGGAGAAGGGATTTATTGTTATCCCTGCCTTACTGCTGAGCCAGAGGCAAAGCCGAGCACTGCAGCTGGATTTTCTGAGGCTCAAGGTGCGGCTTGTTGTTGTTTCCTCTAATTTAGCGTAGCAGCCTCAAAAATGAGGTCCTGCTTTTCTCCTCCTCTGGTTTTCTCCCACTCCCCTGATTTTCTGCCCCTGCTCCTCTGCAGCTGGGGAGCCATGGAGATGTCAGTTCACTGAATCCTAGAGAATCACAGGATGGTTTGGGTTGGAAGGGACCTTAAAAGACCAACCAGTGCCACTCCCTGCCATGGGCAGGGATACCTTCCACTAGCCCAGGTTGCTCCAAGCCTCTTCCAACCTGGCCCTGGACACTTCCAGGGATGGTGCAGCCACAGCTTCTCTGGGCAACCTGTGCCAGGGCCTGCCCACCCTCACAGGGAGGAATTTCTCCCCAGCATCCCATCTAACCCCACCCTCTGTCAGTCGGAAGCCATTTCCCCTTGTCCTGTCACTCCAAGCCCCTATCCAAAGTCCTTTTCCAGCTCTCTTGGAGCCCCTTTAGGCACTGGAAGGGGCTCCAAGGTCTCTCCAGAGCCTTCTGTCCTCCAGAGTGAACACCCCCAGCTCTCCCAGCCTGTCTCCACAGGAGAGAAAAGAATGAGGAAGGAAAAGAGGAGGAAGAGGAAAGAAGAACAGTTTTCCATCAATTCTTTTGGAACAGCTCCTGCTGTGGCCACGGGACCAACTCCAGTGCTTTTCAAGGCACAGTGTTCTTCAGGACCTCCTTCCAGCCAAGAAATGGGATCACTCTGCAATGCAGGTGATGAAAACCAAGAAGAGTCACATTGATATCGTACAGAGGAGATCTAAATTTATGGATAAGGACGCCTGGGAGAGCCGGGGGATTCCCTGGGAATTAAGGCAAAGGGAATTTCTGCACAGGACAACATCAACTGATAACCCCTGGAGCTGGGCTGGGGCTGGGGCTGGGGGGAGCCTCAGGGAGGAGAACAGCAGGGCTGGGTGTGAGCTGCAGGAGCTCATTCCCGCTTTCCAAAGGCAGCTGTCGGTGTCCGTAAGCGGATGCCCCAGAAAACCAGGACAGCCCCGGAGTGCCTGTAACTCCACACCAGGCTGAGCGTTTAAGGACCTAATTTTAACTTCTCTGAGCATCCTCCTTTCTGCCAGCCGCGGAGGGATTAGAGTAACAGTTTTTGAAATTATTTAAAAATAACATCAGACTTAATCATAGCTATTTATTAAATCCATTATCCTCTGTCACTTATGGGACACTGATTCAGCCGTGGAAACTATAATCACCTGTGGCCATAAACCTCACTGTTGTTTTTCTTTTTTTCTTTCTCCTAAAGGGCCCCACTAATAATTATTCT